TTCCTCATCTTTATGAGTATGACTACTCCGATTACTGTTTTCCTCTCTCTCTCTCTCTCTCTATGGAGTAGAACCCCTCTCTCACTTGGAGATGAAGAACCCTAGTTCTATGTGTTAGGGATTAATTGTATTGACTTCGGATGATATTACTGTTTGATTTTAATCAAATGATGCATGTTTACTGAGTCAATTAAAGTATGATAAACTTTTCCTGATTCCTGCTGCAATATGAGATAGATAGAATCTGATTAGGTTGCTAGAGTCTCATCATTCGGTAGTAGGAGATTGGCTATACGAGAGTTAGCTAGTTTACTGCTTTGTACTGGAATTCAATTCCAGTAGTGGGGTTCTGTGCTTATTGCTTCAGCTTTCTATCCCGGTGAAGACTAGTCGTTTGCCGGGAAGTTAGACTGAGAGGGCTTGGTCAGCTTAAGAGATTCCAAGCTACTGTCGGATCTTCCGCAGTCTAATCAACAGTAAATCAACCCAGGGAAATACATTTGAAACCTAACTAAGGAGCTAGGGGGACTCATTCCCGAGTGACTCTTACCTACTTGAGAAAACCGTATCAATTCCTGCTTTCTTTCTGCTTTTGCTTTTACACAACAAACACTTTACTTAGTTGGCTAGATAATAGAGAATCACTGAGTAAGCAGTAGATCTAGACCCCGGGTTGATAATATAACTTGTCACTTTACTGCATTCCCAGACTGCGATTATACTTGGTCGCAGTTAGGTGTTGTGTTTTGGGCTTGTCACGTGGTCATTCGATTATTCGTAAACTTGACTTGTTTATCCTTGTGCAAGCTCAAAGAGGTGTTCCTGTTAACCTCGCATCTCTCATGTGTCTGAACATGGTTGAGGCTGCTGCTAGAGGGGAAAACTGGTACACTGTCTTTCCATATGCCACCTTCGTGACCACCTTTCTTGAAAGGGTTGGGATGGATATTGGGGGTTTATGTTAAGGAGGACCAGTGCGCTTATTTTCCGGTGTACCGTATAGCCGAATTGACCAATACTTTTATTGACCTTCGGCATAAGGAGCATCAAGAGACCCCTGAGGCCTACTCAAGCAAACGTCCTCGGCTTACATGAGAGTCGATTGATGCAGGGCGGGGTGGAGCGTTGGAGCAGCAAAGGGGCCAGCAATGGATGTCTTCTGTTAACAAGTTTCCTAAGTCTTTGTTGGGTTTTTTTCCAGTCTTTTGTCTTTTCCTTAATTCTCCAGCACTCAAAACTATCAGGTACTGAGGGGAGCCAGTACATCATCTGACTAGGAAAGTCTCCCATTTTTTGAATTGTCCAGACCAATATTTTTCTATGCATACAGTATTTCTTGAATTTGCCATGGCAATGTTCCCCAAGACAGGTGACGAGATGCAGTAATGGTCATCTCCAATGGTGCAATTTTTGTGACTTGCAAGATGATGTGGCAAGGAGGTGCAATTGCATCTCTAAAATGCTATGATGTGAGAAGCTATTGCAAGGGTGCAAATTTGCTTGCAATTAAAATGGGCCCACGAGTGGGGACTATTGATGAAATTGCAATTGACTTTCATTGTTGCTGAGAAGTGGTGTTTTCTCAAAATTATAGAAGTGGAAGTAGAGACTACCTATGAAATTGCAAATAAATTTCATTGGGGGAGATTTTAATCTGCTTTTGTTCTAAGTAGTTCCAATTAGGTCGAAGAATGTGTTACTTATTTCATCTTCATTTTTAATGGTTTTCGAAAATTATGGTTTTTTATTTATATTTGGTCACAAGTATAGTGACGATGATAGGCATGAATAGTACGGATATGGCTTGATTATAATGATTTTTGATCTATGGTGATTTTTCCCCTTTTTCATCAAGACTCATGCTTCTTTTATTCCCCGGGTGAATCTATCATGCTTCGTTTATAGTAAAATACCCTTTTAATTATACACAATAAAGAATCCATTAATTATGTAAGCCTTTTTATTGTATTTATTAATACAATGAATTCTCTCACTAAAAGGGGAGTGCATACATCGTTGCTGGAAATTCAAGGAATGAAAGCCTTTCCATATCTTAGGAACATTAAATTAATTACCTAAGAATTTTCTATCTGCCTTGTACGGGGTTTGGTCATTAATTATACTGATTGGGAGCTAATCAATTTTACCTTTTGGGTTAACTATACATGAATTCAAATTTAATTAGACGAGGGCAATTGGGAACGAAGTGGAATGATATGATCTCAATTAAACCTCTGTACAAGATACAATGGCTTGAACAGAAGCAACCTCACTCACAAGTTGGAAGCTAGAATTTTGGTCAAGTCCCTTTGCCATTTCCACGAAAAAAAAAAACCAAACCAAAAACCAAATATAGAAAGCATTCACCAAACCAAACCAAAAACGGTTGTCCATCATCTTGAAAAATAAAACATAACATGGTTGTCCATCATCTTAAAAAAAAACACAAAATCAGGTTGTCCTTGGGCTCTTTGATTGGGTTTCCTTGTGCTTTTCTCTTTCCTTTTTCCTCCTTTCATGGGCTTTCTTGTACTCTTCGACTGCAGCTTCAACTTGAGGTACAAATGTTCTTGCTTCCGTGAGCACCATATGCCTTATGTAGTTCATGGGCTCTCGAACAAGGTACAAAGCGATCTGCATCCTCCTCACTTGAGTGCATGGCTATCAACATCAACAAACATGGTGCTTAACGCATGATTCAAAAATAAAAATCAAGTGTGGTTCTAATATGCGAACTAGAATTGTCTTTACCCAAATATAAGAGGAGTCCCAGCTTGCGCCATACATCCACATGCAGACCCAGACTCCACTGTCAGACCTACATAAAATGAAAGTATTGCGTGATAAGAACCAAGTTGATAAGCCGTCGTTTAATATCACACAAAAATGGGCATACTTATCGATGAAGTTGTTCTTGATCCTTTGAAGGATTTGTGTACGAAAACTCCGCAATCCTTGGTGGCGACAATCCCGGACCTTGTTCACGATAGAGAATCTTCCACAAGGCTTGCATAAATCTCATCTGTTCAAATTAAGAAACATTTGTACTTAGAAAGAGGTATTTACATTTTTTTGCGTTATAACGGCACAATGTCATAAATCTACCATTGTTTGAACAGATTGTAGTCGAAAGGAATTGCGGTCTTCATTTGGTTGTGGATCCAAGATATGGACTTCTTCCTTGTCCAACTTAATGACAGGCAAGTACCAATGGGCATTATCTCTCATCGGAACACACACTAAAAGTACAAATCTTGAAAATAAAACAATGTACTTTCCCTCCTCCCACTTTTATACTATACATATGGCAACTTCCCCTCTTGTATACATTTTCCGAGCATGATCAACATGTACGCATCAATATAGCACAAAAGAACCACCATATGACGTAGGGTTCCACAACACCTATTATGGAATTGTAACAACATATGATGATTCTTTCGGCAATATTCAGACGACGACTTATTGTCATTGCTCCCCTCCCTGCCTCTAACAAAGACCCTGCATGGAGAGAAAAGAAGAAACAATAAAAAGGAGTTAGTTTAACAGTCATGATCTAACAATGACATAATGAAAGGAACTGAGATCTAAAATAATACGCAGTCTCATCATTACCACTGCACCCGAAAATAAAGCATGGGACAGGAGGACGAAAAGGCGGATGGGGTTGATTTTCAGAGTTTCATATTGAGAAGATGGGAGAAAGGGGTCTTTTCGGGGATTGAGAAGAGGAGGAACGAACAACAGCAGGAGATGAGTGCCTCTCGGGTTTCGGAGCATGGTCTCTCCTTCTCTTATTAAAGAATTTATAAATGGACTCATAAAATTACTTTGCCTTTCCAGCCCTTCCCATTTACTGAAAATCACACTCCCTACCGCTGCCTCGGCCTTGGTAACGTTAGCACTGGTTATGGGCAAATGCGACTTTTCCGAAAACGGCGAAATCTGATTGGGTGACATGCCGAGGCAACGATTGAAGCTCTTTCACCATCAGATTAAAGGAAAAGTTTAGGAATTGACGGCGGGAGATGGGGATGTGCTTTTAGACTGGCTTTGTAGATTAACTAACTTTTTCGTTTACCAAAATTAATCTACTGATTTGGTATATGTTATTGTAACCCTAAACCCTGAACCCTAATACCCGAACCATGAACAAAAATAAATCATTTGGGAAATATATATTATATAATATATATAGTAATTATTCAGGTCAATCGAGCGGTTCACGAGTTAGTCAGTTAGACTCAATTGAGTTCGGGTCAATTGAGTTACGGGCTTAATTAGGTTACAGGTCAATCAAGTTCTGATTAATCAGGATACGGGACAATCAGGTTGCAGGTTAATCGGGTTACGGGTCAGGGAGATTTTTTATCATTGACTTTTAGTCAACTCAAATTACAATCCGTTTACGGGTGGATTTTCACAGCTATACCAAGGACATGGAGCATGAGCAATCATCCCGATAACTCTTCAAGTATTAGAAGCATTGAATGCTCAATTCGTCTCCAAGACTCATAAATCACAAGTAGTAAACGAAGAAATTAAACCATCACTGACCATCGATCCAGTTCAAGTTGACGCCCTCCCAGCTACACGATTGCATGATTCGATTTGCTAATGAGTTGTTAGTTGATAATCTTAAAGGAGGGCATTCTTGCCCCTATGTTTCTTCCTCTTCATGTCCTTTTCTTTTGTCCCACCTGTAACTCTTTTCGTGGCTTAAAAGCCTCATTTGAATAAATAAAAAAAATATAATCGACTCTCGTGGGTAAATGAGTTGTGAGTTGCATTTATTTGCACAAAGTCCGAAACAAAACAGGAACGGGAAAGAGGGTTCTGGAAAGTACTCGAATGGCTATTTTTCATCAAAACCGAAGGAACATAAACTTATCCATACTCCAGGCGGAAATAGGAATAGGAATTCATCCCTTGTAGATACTTCCGAAATCGTCTGTCGGTGCTATCTTTATATAAACTTCCCAAACGCACACACACTCGTCCATTCGATTTTGGATACAATGGCTGCTGCTTCAGAACCGAGTCTATGCGCCAACGGCTGCGGATTCTACGGCTCCCCTCAAACCCACAACCTCTGCTCCAAATGCTACAAGGACTCCCTGAAGAAGAAGACAAAGGAACAATCCACCATCCACGCCGTTTCTTTGACCGGCGCTACAGACGATTTCGTTTGCGCCCTGCCCGCCGCTAAGTCGGACTACGGCGGCTGCGGGACGAGTAAAGTCAACAAGAGCCGGTGCAAGGCGTGCAACAAGAAGGTCGGCCTGCTGGGTTTCACCTGCCGCTGCGGTGACGTGTTCTGCGGGTCCCACCGATACGCCGAAGAACACGGCTGCAGCTTCGACGTCAAGGGAATGGCACGCGAGATTTTGGCGAAGCAGAACCCGCTCTGCAAGGCCGATAAATTGGAATTCAGGATTTGAACGCGGTTTAGTGTAGTTTGGTTTATTAGATTGTTTTTCTTTAGTTCCTTCCGACGATTGGTTTCCATAATTGTATTTACTTTTAATTAATTTGATTCTTAATGTATATAGTTTTTTTTAATTTATCTTCGTTCGACTTTTTGACCTTACATGCCGTATGAAATAGGAGTGTTCAAATTAATTATAAAATCAAATAGTAATATAATATTATAACCAAATCGTCCAAACTAATACAACAACCACATTAATCAAACTCAATTTTAATTGGTTTGGCTAATTGGTTAACCAAATTAACCTATATAACATCACATTGTTATTAAGTGAGAAAAATTTTCGGTCAATAATGCATCTATTTGCAATTTATATAATGAATAAGTCATAACAATCAACATATAATTATATTTAACCTTAAAACAAATACATGCAACTAATTATCTTACGTTCAATAGAAGTAGGGTTAACATATTTGTATGACCCGAACTTTTCACATATTAAACATCATGGCCAATATTTTCGATCTATTACTTCGTGGCCTCAACTGTGCATCAAAGTTATGAAAATGACCAAACACGAAATTTGACCGTTATCTTGGACGGTCAAACGCGTTAACTAACAGTCAACCGCTACATTACAGCCTAATCAGCATAAATAAAATTTAAAAATTCATAAACTCCACATCATCTCTTATTTCAAATTTGTATATAATTAATTACATAAATAAACTATTTATCTAATAACTATTAGTTACCAACTAAATGAAAAAAGGGTCAATGCTCGTCTCTCCCGTGCGTCCCTCTCTGCTTCATCTTCTTGTTCCCCAAAATCCCCACTCCGAATCCATTCTTAATCTTCTGCGATTACGTTCAGAGCAGGGAAATCGTTGGAGTTTCTTCCTTGGCCTAATTCAATGGCCTCCACTCCACTGACTCTGTTCAACTCGCATCTTCTCTCACTAGCCCTCTGATTTTGGATTCGTTAACAAGTTCGACGCCTTCGATTTCAGCGTCGGATTCGCCGGCCAGATCCACGATTTCTCATATGTAGGGTACATTTACGACAAGAACTACACTTCAATGTCACGGGGGCCAGCTGCCAACTCGGCGATCTGAGTCGGGAATCGCTGGTGGAGCAGAAGATGAATGGGAACACGACGGTGTTACTTGTGCACGTGAACGAGGTGTGCGGGTACTACGGTACCCTCTTAGGTGGAACGTGGGGGCGTGGAGGAAGGATTGGGGAGGAAGCTGGCGAACGCGATGGCCTGCGAAGGGAGAGACTGAGCCGAGCGGTGCGAGGTTTTCGGGAAATGGCGGGCCCGGATGTGGATGGTCGGGTTCAGGGCAAAGCCGATGAGTCAGGACGTGACCGAGTCGATGCGAGCGAGGCTGAACTCGGTGGTGCTACTACCACCGTTATGTCTCTCTCTAATTGGCTGCAACAACGGATCGGAGGAGAAAAAGATTAGAGGAAGATGGGGATGTGTTAATTTTTTTTTTTTAATTTTAATTTTGTATGGGCAAAATTTGGAAACTTATGAAATTATAGATTATGTGAATTTTTTGGAATTTTTCAATATTTATTGTGTTGATTGGGTGGTAACGTGATGAGTTGATCGTTAGTCAACACGTTTGACCGTCCAAAACAACTGTCAAATCTCAGGTTTGGCCAATTTCGTAACTTTGATGCATAGTTGAGGCCACGAAGTTATAGATCGAAAAGATGGGTAAAGATATTTAATATGTGAAAAGATCGGGCCATACAAATATATTAACCAATAAAAATATTCACCTAACAAAAATATATGCTAATGGTATGGGATTAATGAATTGTTGTGTTTGTGCGAATTGACTTAGTCTCTTAGAAATTATCATAGGGTGAAAATGACATTCCTTAAGTATTTTTAGCTATTTTACAGTAGGCGTAAAAAACTAACGCTTTTACGCTTTGATTCTACGCTTTACAATTATACCCCTTTCCCGTTTCTAGGTAGAATCGTGCTTTTAACGGCATTGTTCCTTACCACATGGAGTAGCTAGAGGTACGAACCTCCCGGATTTTTCTGGTGAATTAGCACCACTAAGTTGCTGTGACAGTTGCTTGGGACTTCTAGACAATGTTGCTGGCCCTTTAACCATAGCCAAAAAACTCACAGATGGGCTCCTATTTGATGAAGGAACTGGTTGAATTCCAGGAGACCACTTCCTAAAATAGACAAGGTTGCCTTGGAAATGCCAGGGACCAGATCCAAACACCCATTTGCTCGTAGCCGCCGGTGGTAATTGGAATCCATCCGGTGAGGTCCAAACTTTGAAACACAAACTAACCCATCCCGCCCCCACATATTGGTCGCCCATTATTGTAGCATCGATAGTTTGGGAAGAGGTCCAACGAATTGCACGATTAAACTATCCTTCAATCGCTCCTCGCCATGCGTCTTCACTTTGCGGGGAAGACGGAACTCGTCCTCCCTCCTCTCCAGTGGTAGATATGTCATCCGGTTAGTCAGATCTACTGATAACAAAGAAGACCAGGATATGGTTTTCGACAATACATTTGTAAAATTTTCTGAATAGCGAGATCACCCATTGTTGTACTAGAACATATATATCACTTAGTCCTTTTATTTGATGAAACTTGCCCATTATTGGAAAAGGGTTATTTTTAATCTTGGAATTTACATATTGAGCCTAAGAATTGTCTTTAACGATAACGGGTAGAATTTGCCTGGCTTTATTTGTGCATTAGTCAGGTGATTTTGCACTTTCGGAGGGAGGCTGGGCCCAATTCCATGCAGTGTATGCCCGTGTTGATATCAGGGGAAGGATTAAGCAAGCGCCACCATCGAGCCCAATGTAGAATAGACCTAACCCGACTCTACTGTACCTGACATTTATGGTTCCTTTCTTACTAGGGGTATTCAAATGGAGTGCTTACCACGGTAACCGTTTTAACCGGTAGTATTTAGATAATTTAGATAGTTAGTTTGGTTAAACTTTTTAGCTTGTTTGGTTTAGGTGGTTTGATTTGATTTCAGACACTCCTAACTAGTCAAACCAAATTAGCCAATTTAGTAATTAACAATATATCTAATATATTATATACACATACTTAATACTTTGCAAACAAGTCAAGCGTCAAATATTTCTTCTTTTTAGGTTCGTAAAAAATTAAGATCAATATTGTTCCTATATTGTATATTTGTATTTGTAGAGTGTAGGTGAGTTGATAGGGTGGTAACACCATACTAACACTTACTATAAGGGTATTATAGTAACTATCATTTCTCCATCCTCTTTCCTTCTCCTCCACCTTTCATTTACCTTTCTTTTCTATGTTTCATTTACATATATTTTTTTTACATTTGGGTCCTCAAACTATCAATGGAAAATTACATTTTAGAACCTGAAAATTTTATTTCTTAGATTTTGGTTCCTAAACTTTTTAAAATTTACAAACAGATCCACTGCTAAGAAACTTTGTCCCTGCTTTGAAAAACTTCTGACCTACTTTGAGGTTCTTGCCTACTATGAGGAGGTTCTACCTACTTTGTGCAAGTTCTGACCTACTTTGAGAAGGTTTCAACCTGCCTTGAGGAGGTTCTGACCTACTTTGATGAGTTCTTGACCTACTTTGATGGTCTCCCTCATTTCCTCACATTTAATGTAAAAAGCATAGTTGTCCCCCTCCCCTTTCCCATTTTTTCATAATACCAAGTGTGCCCCTCATTCCCCTCTCCCCCCCCCCCCATTAATTGTGGTCAACTCATTAAAATTCATTCAAACGAAATGTTCCTATCATAGGGTGAAAATTTACGTATGACATATACTGCTAATGCTAATGAACATCTTAACAATAATTTCATAAATATAAATATTAACAATAAGTCACATTCCCCTCTATGCCATGGTCCATTAAACCGTACCGTACCGGCGGTTCAACCACAAAATACTAGTATCAGAGGCTAAATCGATAAGCGGTATTTAACGGTACTAACAGTTGAACTACGATTAAACCACGGTTTTGACATAAAATACCCTACCGCTGACTTTTCCGGTACGGTCTCCGGTACGGTTTCATGGACCATGCTCTATGCTAATGAATTTGGGAAGGGTCTAGTTGATTAATTAGATTACTCTATTGAAACTGAGAATGCATCCAAGTACATGTATGTATCTTTTAATTTCAAATGTATAATATTGTTGGTGATTTAACTTTAAAATATACTTTTTATAATTAATTTATTGAAAAGAATACCCATTTAGTGAACTAGAAGCGTAAAAACATAAAACATTTTGGTGAACTAGAAGCGTAAAAATATACGCTTTTAAGCTTTAAAGCATAATTTAGTCCGCTTTTATACACTAAAGATTTTATATGGAAATGAAAGCGTTTTGGTAACCTATAATCGTAGAATCGTAAGTTTTTATATTTTGAAGCGCGATTTTAACTGCATTAGTAAGAAAAATATGTAGATAAAAACCCTTCGATCATAGTAGGAGGTTCTAAAAAGAAGCCTGTAACACTTTATGTTGCTCCTGTTAAGAAGGGGGGAGGGAAAAAACGATGAAGATATACTATGGAATACTAGGGTTATAAGGATAGAGAAAAAAATAAAATTATACGCTAATAGTTAGGAAGAATAATATAGATATAGCAGTTATACTTGAGCCAAAAATTAGAGCCAAGGATTCAGAGGATCTAATTGGAAAAAGATTCCCTGGTTGGGAGAAAGAAGTGGCTAATAATGCTAGTGATTTGGGGAAAGTATGGTTAATGTGGAAGGATGACATTAATTTGCGAGTTCTTGACATATCGGACAGATTCATTCATGTAGTGGTGAACTCTGAGACTCCTTTTTCATCTCTCTGGTTTATACTTCAAATGAGGAAGCAGGAAGAAGCAGTGTATAAGGATCTCAATAAAGTTTAGGTTCACCAGGTGCCTTGGGTTGTACTGGGTGACTTCAACGCCATCAATGATCTGAGTGAAGCTTTTAATAACCCTGAGTATAATAGTAGTATGGAAGAATTTAGAGGGTGGCAGTCTTAGTCTGAAGTGGTAGAGCACAAATCTTATGGTCCATGGTTCACATGGATTAATAAACAATTTGGGAACCCTATTGTAAGGAGGCTTGACAGGGTGTATGTGAACATCAAGTGGCTTGAAAAATTGTCCAATAGTTTTGTGGAATTGTTGGATCCTTCTGTTTCTTAGAGAGATATGGTTAAAGGAGGGGGATTCCAACTCGAGAGGGTTCTCCATTAGAGAGTGTCTGCAGAAAGTTGAGGGTGTTGAAAAAATTGTTGAAGACCCTGAATAAGGAAGACTATTCTGATATCAGCGAAAGAGTTAAGCTTAAAGTATTGGAACTGTAGTATGCTCAAGCAAATGCTCTTGCAAACCCTTCTACAAGGACTTTTGAAGTTGAAAAGGTAAAAATCTTTTCTTACGCAAAAATCTCGAGAGAAATGGTTGAGGGGGATTCCAACTCAGCTTATTTTCATTGCTCAATTAAGATTCACCAATAGCTCTCCATGTTAAATGATAAGGGTGAGAGGGTAACTGATACTGACACTATAAGCGACATGGCAGTATCTTTCTGTAGGAATTTATTGGTGAGAAAATATCCTCTTGTGTAGAGCAAGTTAATGAGTATTATAAGGGCTTATTAACGAAGACTCTTAACAGTGCACATGTTGAAGATATTTGTAAACCTGTCACTTCTGAGGAAATCAAGAAGACTATATTTGGATTTAATGGTGAGAAGAGTCTTGGCCAGATGGTTATTCTATCTATTTTTTTCAGTCTGCATGGAGTGTTATTGAAGAGGAAATCACTGATGCCATTAAGTTTTGTTTTGAGAATTCCAGTTTTCCCTATGAGGAACATTCCACTCTCTTAGAACTCATTCCCAAAACTAAGAACCCTTAAGAGCTGAAGTTGTTTCGACCCATATCATGTTGCAATATTTTGTGCAAGTACATTGCCAAGATTATATCAAGTAGACTCATTGAATGCTTGCCTTTTGTTATAAGTGAAAATCAAACAACATTTGTTAAAGGAATGGTATTTGGGGAGAATATCCTACTTTCATATACTTGGAAGAACATTCACCCCCGTAGTATTGTGACAGTAGATTTGATGAAGGGCTTCGGTTTTGTTGACTGGCAATTTCTTTTAACTGTCTTAGAGGCAATGGGGTTCCCTAGAGTATTCTTGCGATGGATTTTTATGTGTATTACCACTCCTAAACTTTGTGTAGGATTTAATGGAGGAGTCTTAATTAGGGTACTTTTCAGCTAAGAAAAGGCCTTTGATAGGGGGATCCACTTACCCCCCTATTTGTTTGCAGTGGCGATGGAGGTGTTTAGTTGTTTGATGAAGGTGGCAATAAATGAAGATAGATTTCCTTTCCATCCAATGTGTAAAAGGGCAGGGTTGACGAATATTATGTATTGCTGATGA